AAAGTAGCCAACAGTTAAATCATTAAAAGAATGAATTTATCCCTCATCAAGTCACATGTGAAATGTAATCTAGTTATATATTTGTTACTGGAGCAAGAAACTAATTACAAATATCTAAAAAAAAATCAATCTCCATGAGTGAATTTGTTGGGGGTTTTTTTTTTGGGGTGTGTGTGTCCTGGAAGTGTTTTTGTGCAATACTTTTTGCACAAAAAAGGCTTTGTAGTTGTTGTTTTTTTAAAAAAAAACACATCATGAATTGAGAAAAATCATTAACAGTGTGAGAGATTCTCATAATCTTGCTAAGGAGGGGGAAAGCTTCTGCATTTTCATTCTTGCAGTAAGAATGAAATAAGATTTATATCCCTGTCTTTAAGTAAACATGCTGCAAATCTCCGAATTGCTATCTTTGGCCCAGTAAATATTTTTGCTTATGTATCTATCTACTATTTTTCGACATGGAGAAATGTAAGGTACTGCACTTAGGGCAGAAAAATGAAATGCATAGATATAGGACACCTGGGAGACACCTGGCTTAACACAACTACGTATGAAAGGGATATGGGAGTCCTAGTAGACCACAAGTTGAACATGAGTCAACACTGTGGTGTGGCAGTTAAGAAGGCCAATGTGATTTTAGGCTCCATCAGCAGAAGTATAGTGTCTAGATCAAGGGAAGTAATAGTGCCACTCTATTCTGCTTTGGTCAGGCCCCACCTGGAATACTGTGTCCAGTTCTGGGCACCACAATTCAAAAAGGATGTTGAAAAACTCGAGCGTGTCCAAAGGAGAGCAACTAAAATGGTGAAGGATCCGGAAACCATGCCTTATGAGGAACAATTTAGGGATCTGAGTATGTTTAGCCTGGAGAAGAGCAGTTAAGAGGGAATATGATAGCCCTGTTTAAGTATTTGAAAGGGTGTCATATTGAGGAGGGAGCAGGCTTGTTTTCTGCTGCACCAGAGAACAGGACCTGGAGCAATGGGTTCAAGCTATAGGAAAAGAGATTCCATCACAACATTAGGAGGAACTTCTTGACAGTGAGAGCTGTTCAACAGTGGCACACACTCCCTCAGGGAGTTGTGGAGTCTCCTTCTTTGGAGGTTTTTAAATAGAGGCTGGATAGCCATCTGTCGGGTATGCTTTGATTGAGAGTCCTGCATAGCAGAGGGGCTTGGACTGGATGGCCCTTGTGGTGTCTTCCAACTCTATGATTCCCTACTTTCTCCCTCTTTGGCCTACTGAATGTTTGTACTTTTCTAAGATAGGCTGAAGGAAAACTGTATGAACAAATATTGCCAGGGTGAGGGAAATTCTCTCTGTCTTCTCTTATCTTGGTTGCTGTGATGAAGGAGGACAGCAGGGAGAAGTGAGGAACTTTTTAATACTTACCGTAAATATGGGACACAACATAGAAAAGTGCCAAGTATATGTGAGAGAATCCAGAGAAATTTGGGGCCTCTTGTCTGGCCTTGGAGATAGATTTGATCCCTTTCCCAATCTAGGTTTCAAATGCTAATCCACTTGGCACTGTTATGTTAGCTGTATTGAATTAAATTTGTGTATTACAGTGTTCCCTTCCCAAACATTTGTGATGCAGTGAGCTAGAAAACCGAATAAATAAATATACAGACATAATAAGGAATGTGGTTTTTTGTTCAAAAAAGGATGTGATACTGCTTAAACTAGTGTATTATGATTTCAGAGCATGAATGCTGTCTAGCTCTAACCCTCTTTACCTACTGTTTATACTATCAGTGCTGTTTGAATAGCCATATGCCAATGCAATAGGTTTTCCAGGTGTAGAATTTCATGGATACACTTGATTGCAGTTTTGAGATTCTGTGCAATGTTTTCTCAGCATGACTGATCTATAAATCCAGTCATTAGAACTGAGAATGTTTGTGCAGCAAAACTCATCTTTCACAGAAGAGTCAGAAATAATACATTTTACTTGAGCTGCATCTGAAGTTCAGAAGTTTCTGGTTTCTGTGCTGCAGCATGGAGAGTTGTATTGCTTTTCTGAAGCAGTTTTATGAGTAATATTTTAAAAATGTTCTTTACTATAGTGAGGGTTTTTATGCCATTAATAAGATGTAATGATTGTTCAGTTTCATTTGAAATGCTAGGAATAAAAACTTGTTTCTTCTGAAATTAATGAATATATAGGTGTGGTTGCAAATTGAATTTTCAGGTTTGGAAAGTAATCAAGGTGGTGTCCATAGAATAATTAATTTTGGTCCAAATAAAATTGTTTTGGTACTTGAAGTAGAGAGTTTTTTTTAACACATAGCTGTTTATATGAATTACATTATCAGGCAGTTCTGGTTTTAATACAGAAGTACTAATCTATTAAGGTAAGTAGAGTTGTACTTTTTTGGAGTGCCTTGGTAATGACGAATTTAGCTGGCAAATTAATTTTTAAAAGTAATTAATTGCAGTTGTAGCTCTGAGTTACATTTGAGCTACTTTGAAAATAAATCTGAATGCAGCACACCACTGGTCTATGGTGCAAAACACACTCTGCTCCCATCTATTTTATTGTTGCTTAACACTCATAGTATAACATGAAGCAGTAGGGAGCACTTGAACCTTATAGTTTTCTTCCTCCACAAATTTAGTGAGACCATACTCCCATAAGTATGAAATTGAATACAAAGTTATTAGTTATATTTTGATAAGGAGGGAAGTGATCTCTCATGAATTTAGAGTTACAATATTATGTAGTTAAATCTTTTAAAAATGAACATTTTTAGTTATTTTTCATTGTGATTGATCATCAATGTTAGGGTACACAGCACTTTGCAGAGTTTCATAAGCCAAAAAAACAGACAGGTCCCTGCACTCAGATAATATATATGTATGTATGTATGTATGTATGTATGTATGTATATATATATATATATATATATATATATATATATATATATACACAGAGAGAGAGAGAGAGAGAGAGAGAGACACTAATATATCAGACTAATGGCCTTCATGTTGAATATTTCACTTGGCTCTTAGTATCTAGAACTCAGTATCTCATTATTCTTTTGTTTGTTGACTTGCTGGAAACTATGCAACTCCATTTTGTAAGCTGATGTACTTGGGATGGATTGTGTTAGTTTTAACATTTAATGGTCTTAATTTTGTGATTTATATTTTGCATGTTAATTATTCATTATAGGCATTTTAATTATGCACATGTGCCTGGAGACTCTTAGGTACTGGGCACATTTTAAAAACAAAATATCAGGCAGTGCATGCTTGCACATGCTGTGGGGGGATATATAAAATTATTTATTAATCAGTGAGTTATATTCTTAGCTACATACTTGAATGGCAAATCTAATCCTATCAGGTAACATTGGCTTGGAATTCATATATTACTGAAAAGTATGTTTCATCTTATTTCATTTTATTACCCGTTGATTTATGCCATTTATCCTATTCAGGATTGGCCCTGTTACCAGGCAGAATGAAGTGGCTGCCTCAGGCAGCAGACTTTGGTATCGTGGGAAGGCTACAAATTGTTATTTATTTATTTTGTTGTTATTTTAGTTACTATGTAATCAGATACTATATCCAGTGTGCTTCCACCATGTTTCCCAGGGAAAACCAGTGCTAGTTGGAGATTCTGTGGCAGAAGAACCACTGTAGAAAGAAAAGAATGGAAGTATTTGTGAACACAGTAGTTTATTTAGTGTTATGCTAGTCCAGATATCAGTATTAAAACTGTTTAAAAATGCTATCTGGCAGCCCACATGTTCCTGCATGAGCCAGCGTGGGCTCTGAGATCATTCTGAGAGGTTCTTCTTTCAGTCCCACCACCATTGCAAGGATGGTTGGTAGGATTGTGAGAGAGGTCCTTCTCAGTTGCTGACCCTAGGCCAGGGGTAGGCAACCTTTCCCGTTTAAGGGCCGAGGGACTTCAGCTCCCAGAATCCCAGGAGCTATTGGCCAACATGGGACTATTGGCCAACATGGCTGAGATTTCTGGAAGCTGAAGTCCCTCGGCCCTTAAAGGAGAAAGGTTGCCTACCCCTGCCCTAGGCTCTGGATCTTCCTTCCCAGGGAATCCAGAATAGCCCCCTCCTTGTTGTCCTCCCATCAGCAGGGTAAGATCTTTTTGTTCAGACACCCTTTAAAAGAGAAAGCTTTTAAAGATGGGCTGAAGTGCTGTATTGTTTTAACTGAACTCTTAAAAAGAGCTTTTTATCTTTTTAAGAGCATTATTCTTTTAACTTATTATTTTATACTATATACCATAAATAGTTTAATTCTGTTTTAATTTTCACCTTTTCTATGTTTTTCATTGTATTGTCCTTTTTTATGAGCCACTTTGAACCCCTATTTTTTTGGGAAAAGTGGGATATAAACAAGTAGGAGGAGCAGCAATCTGACACTGAAGCAAACACACACCTTCTCATTTACAACCATTGTGGAAAATCTACCCAGATACTCCATACAGTAGCATGTAAGAAATCACAGGCATATACAGTGGTACCTCTACTTACGAATGCTTCAACTTACGAAAAA